GCGATTTGTCGGTAATGTTATTCTGCCTAAAAATCGGAACATTTGTCATCACTGCTCTGATAATCTGAACTTCAGACTCCACAGCCAGCCGTCTGACTCAAGTTGAAACGCAGGGCCTATTTGATAAACCATGAGCCGGTACGGAAATAAACGCTAACAACAAGAACCGACTACGGGTGAAGCGTCGCATGTTGAGTGAGTGACACGGAAGTGTGAGTAGGCGGGCAACGCGATACCCGCAAAGAGATAACTTGGTCCTCCCTTAGATTGAGGCTTGAAGCCATACTCGGGCGACGAGTCGGAACACTGCTCACCATACTCTCGTCCAGGCCAATGATTCAGTGGAGGTATCAAATCGAAGGACCGTCATACAGTTAGGCTCGTGAAAGTTTTTTGGGAAATTCACATTCAGAAACCTACTACGGCCTTAATCCTACTGACTGCTGCAGCTAAAAAAGGGAGAAGCGCCACAGGGCGGGTTAATTTTTTTGAACAAAATTACCGTTTTGTTTTCCACAGGAAACCCACACAAAGACCTGCGTATAGCGTTGGTTAACAAAAATACTCACCTGAACGGCTCGAACATCGTCCAGGTGTAGGAGGAGGTTTCGGATGACAGAGTACAGATCACGCAACTTTCGCAGGGAACCTGGCTGCTGCGTTAAATCCCCAGGCGTGGTCGCAGTACCGTCGTTGGCGGCAGGCACCCCCGTCGAAGGGCTGACGGTGCCATCATGCTCCGCAATAGGACTCAGAACACGAGAGCGATGGGCGCTGGGCTCAGTCGCTGACTGACCGTCCGCACCCTAGACAGAAGAGGAGATTAAGTGCTAATAGTGCTTGACTAGGGGTTTAATAGAATGGGTAAATAAGACAGGCGAGGCAAAGAGAGCCCATGGCGCCTGGGGTTACAGCGCTGAACTTCTAACTAATACGTTCGCGGATACGAGTCTGTGGGGTCGCCACCCCAGGAGTTGGGTGTGGCTAACTGAAGACGGCTTGTAAGCCAGAAATGGCCATTCCAGTCTCCTGCTTGTCTTTGTCGTTAGTGCATTTCTGCCCAATAATAGGAGTTTATGAAAGGAAAGTACTTCCCGTCTTGAGGAAATAAAAGCCTATTCGTGATAAGACGACTGACTGACGGGCAGAGCGGACGGGTCCGTAGGCTGTTGCAGTCCAGTGAGAGGAAGAAGAGTACCTCACTTCCAGGACCTAGCGAGGATGGGAGGTTTGCGCACGGCACAGTTTTTGCAAAGCATGATCACAAACGGTGCCTGTTTTTGTAATCCCACATTCTACACCACGCTGACTTGGATCGAAGTAAACAAATTGGGTAGCTTTATTTACCCGACTTTATGGTTTTCGTCTCGAGTACATCCACACGATGAAAGCGGAATAAGATGGGAGACACGTAGGGTTACTACGCGGACGCAAAAATAAACGGCAAGGATGACTTGTGTTGTTGCCTTAATATGAGACAGCAACCGCGCACAATACACGTGGGTTTGCACCAAA